TGAGGAAATGCGGCAGCCTCTTCCATAATATTATCTATCATTCGGCCAAGAGCAGTGGAGTGCCCACAGGAGGCGAGGCCCCATGCTGGGCATCACAGCATCCACACCGTGCCAACCAGGCAGACAGCCTGCCTCCCAGTTACTTGTTGGTTGAAAGCTTGTGGACAACTGTGGATATTTATCCAGGCCCCACAATACATTTGGCAGGCAGGAGCATCCTTGACTGTGAGAGCCAGGATTTGTCATGTAGGTTTCCAGATCTTTTCTTTTACTGTCTGTACTCAGACTTAGCCCAGGCCAGATTCTGAAAGGAATTATGTCCCTGCCGCTGAAGGAAGAGACACAGCAAACAGGTCATTTAGAATAAAGCTAGTACTCTCTCAAAGGTGTACTTGGTCTTGACCACTCACAAAACCAGCAAAACATTTCATGAAATCAAAATACAGAAATTAAATACACCATCCAAGAGAGAACTGGGTTTAAATTACAGCACATTAAATTCAGAGAGCATTTAAATATTCTCTGAAAGGAAGAAGTGTTAAAATTGGAAGAGCGCAGAGGTGCTGAAATCCCCTTAAATATTTTTTACTGGAAAAGAGAAATTGTAACCTTTTTGAAAGGTTAAGTGCTTTAAAAATAAAAATAAAAAATAAAACTCACTAACCCAATGATGGATTTTTTTTCTATTGACTTTTTTTTTCTTTATTCAGTAATCATATGTGAATGCCTACTATGTCTCAGGCACTGTGCTAAGTTGGGTGACACAAAGACTTATCCTGTGATCTCACTGATGTTTTCATTTCTGCAGACTCAGTGGCACCATGTTCCTTGAATGGCATAGGGTCTAAGAACTCTTCTAAAAATTGTCAAAGGCTGTGTCATCATGTCAACCCATCTATGTTATCCTTTCAAGAAAAAGTTAAAATTTTTAATTGAGTTAAAATTTTTTAATATTTTTGCTACGGCAACATGACAACTAGTTGGCACACTAACATTTTCAGTTGGCCGTTTTAAACATACACAGCCTAGTTTTCTTTCAGGAAGGTTTTTCTGACAGGTCTTTTTCCATCTTCTTGATTCTGTGACCCCAAAGAGCCCTCCTGGCAGAGCAGAGGCAATCCTTTTATTAGCACTAGTCTGCAGTGATGACCATTGGCTCTCTAGTCTTTATTCTGCCACGCTCCAATGGAGGCACAGCAGCCTCATGCGCTCATGACAAGAGTGGTCATTGCACTGAGGCCCAGCGACCAATGGACCCCCGAGGACCTGCACAAAGACTAGTTAATGGGGCAGCCTTCATGGACGTAGGGTAGTTCTCTTGATAGCACAACTGGAACCACCAGAGCCTTTCAGGCTCCCACCCTTACAAATGAATTGTTTCTGGTGACATATTCTCTACCTGGACCATGGAAATACGAATATATTCAATCCTGACCCCAGAGGCATTGGAAGCCCCACAGCCTTTACAAGCAAAGCCTGAAGAAAAACCTAAAACTCTTGGCTATCTCAACTGTTTCATAAAACAAATAACAGCTATGCCAGTGAAACTAATTTTAAGTGAATTTCCTGATTTCAGGAAAGAAAGCATGAAAGCCTAAGGCTTTTCCGCCAAGTTAGATCAGATCAGAGATTCTGTCTCCTTGGTCCAGTTGTCTCGTTCTTGAAGGACAGTGGTCAGCAAAGGCAGGCCGCCCAGTGACTGGGGAACGGACGCCTTCCCAGAAGTTAGAGTGCTGCTTTTCCAAAGGCAGCTGCCTCTGTGCTCACACAACACCCAGGTACACACCACACCATAGCCATATCACATGGCTCTGTTGTTTGAGCTGAAGCAGGTGGGCTTGTAGTGCCCCGTGATCAAAGCCTTTGACCATCATTCAGCACCAATCAGAATGCTGATAATTCATCTTAATTCTCCAGTCTTCCTTAATGTCACCCAAAGTATCGCAGAAGGGACATATCTCTTTCCTCCACCATGTGTTGCTTCGCTTTGGGAGGTTTTCGGGTTTGGTCTTATTGGGGGCAGAAGAGGGGTTGTTTGTTTGTTGGAATTTAGTTCGTAAGGGAAGAAAGCAATATTATAGCCCTTTGGTCGCTAGCGTCCCCTTCCCTGCCTCTGTCTAAAAGAGCCAGGATTCCTCACTCAACACCAGACACAAATGAGAGGCTGCCAAAGAAATCCCTTCAGCTCAGGTAAGGCATAAACGTGCAGATGTTGTCCGATGTTGAAGAGCCTTGTCACACAGTAGGCATGGACCATGACATTGGTGGGGGACGGAAAAACCACTAGGGAATGTTATGTTCCAATGCGTTCTTTCCCTAACCCTGCAGTTCCTGAAGGTGCTTTTATTTCCAGATGTATCCTGCAAGAGAGTTTCTTGTCATTCTTCTAGAAGCCAGGCTCCAATGAGCATTAACCCCCCTCTCTGCCCTCACACTGAGGATTTATGCGACTCTATCCTCTGGCAAAGTTTTTTTTTTTTTTGGTCAAAGATTTAAGGGGAGGGTGAAAAGGGTCCTTTACCTTGTCCAAGTTGCTTTGCACTTGAGACCCTAAACCCTGACAAGCACCCCCTGCCCATGGCCTTCACTAAGGTTCAGTCCTATTGAAGCAGTGGTCACATTTGAAAAGGGCAAGCAACTGTTTGCTGATTCAACATAACAAAAAAGTAGTCAACGCATTTTCTGGGTTTAGAATTTGACCCCAAGAGAACAAATCCAGGTGTGCTTCAATGCAATTAATACAGACTTTACAGACTTTGAAGATGTTGAATATTATGGGAGTACCGAAACTTTCTTTTTGGCTCACATACTCTTCAGGGTGGATGTGTGCTGTTTGGATTTCTGTGGTGAATTCGTTACCATTAGAAAGTGTCCATTTTTTCTGTTCTCTCTGAGTATGTAATTGGAGTATATAACTTCCTGGCAAATTCCAGCATGGGTGCAAACATAAAATATAATTTGAAATGCTATTGCTCCAAGCCACTGGGCTGGGGTTGAATTTTAAAGCCTGAAATATATAAAAATGTGTAAGTAATGGATCTCCAGTTCGTTAATAAAGGGCTCAAAGGAAGATTGCTGTTTATTCAGCAAGCCAGCTCCTGTAAGGGAGACAGCCCTCGAGTCGATGGGCAGGAAGAGGTGGGCAGCCAGACTCCATAACTCTGCCGGGCCTGCGGTCTCCAGAACCTTCCAGCAGGCCATGAAAGCACAGAGCAGGACACTGTGCCCGTGCTCACAGCCCACGTCCTAAAATAAAGCAAGCAGACATTTTCATATTTTACAAAATATTTCAAGCATTTTGGATTTCCTTGACATTTTTTGTAGATGATTCGATTTGGGGATACATTGGAAAAGCCATTTCCAGCAACAGCAGCAAAATAGAAACGGTCATTCTGGAATGACACTGCCTCCCCTTATAAAAATGGCCACGCAAGGAATGCGTGTCTGACCACTAAGGGGCACCAACTTTCACTCCCAGTTTTATTTAGATCCCTGTAATACTTCTTTTAACCATTAACGTGCTTTTGACCTTGGTGATCGCTCTTCAAGTGCCAAGTGATGGTTGACAGATGTGTGGCCTGTGCCTCCTGTCTGCTTGGCTGGAGTGGCAGCGTGCTCGGTGGTGTTCGTGTTTGCTCACTTGGCTTTCCTTCCCTTTCCTTCCCCGGGGGCCCTGTGGGCTGGCAGCGCTGTAGTCCAGCAGGCCAACTGCAGAGCCTCGGTGCCTCCCAGCAAGGGCAGCGGCAGTGGCAGCAGCAGCAGCGGCAGCAGCTCGTCCAGCGACTCGGAGAGCAGCTCCGGATCAGACTCGGAGACTGAGAGCAGTTCCAGCGAAAGCGAGGGCACTGCCCACTACTCCAGCCCCGAGGTAAGACCTGCGCTGGCCCCCGAGCCCCTCCCCTGCCGGCTTCTCCCCCATGGACTCTCGGCGGTGACAGCCGGGACCCCTGCGGCCCCCACCCCTGGGCAGCCTGTCAGGGTTTGTTTGGGCTCATCATTTCCCCTACTCTGTCCCCTCCACACAGTTCTCCTAATGACCCAGCTTCCTTGGGAGTGCAGAAACTCTATCTTTCGTTGTCCAAAAAGCTCTCTCTTGACTTCTAGAAATTTCCAAATATGCTATAAATACCACTGACTGGAAATACCCTACGGATCAGGTCTCCCTAAGGGTCAGCAAGGCAGTAACCAGCCAGGGCAGTTTACCGCCTGGGAAATGCAGTCACCCATAAATCATGGGGAAAGGCATTTTATGGGTTAGACATGGTTAGAATCTTACGTTTTTTGCAGTTTGTCACGGATGAGAAGAACAAGAGCTATAAATATTAATAAAACTTTCTTAACTGTGTTGTCTTTGTGAAAATATAAAAAGAAAAATTAGCATCAACCTACAAATAATAATGAAACCTTTTATAGCTATAATGAGGATCTCTGTGGAAGATTTAGGTGCCTCATATAAAAACATTATAAGGCACCAATAAAATCAGGGCTATTTCTACTTTAAAGGGGAAAGGGGAAAAATAAAGAGTAATTCTGAGCGTGGAGATTCTTGGGAGAGGGTTGGAAGCAAATTTCTCAAGTCCATGCGTCCGTAGGGTAGACTCTGATTTCTAAAAAAGGAATAAAATAGTTTCTTCTTGAGTGTATAAGCATGTGGCATTAACCATGGAGAGTAGGATTTCACTTTTTGCCTACAACCCTCTACCATGTTGGGGCCCAAGTTTCTAAATAGGTTCTGAAATAAAACCAAAGCCGCTGAGGCAAACCATGGTGGTAAGAGGGGGGCCCCTGGGAAGGGTCGCACAACTCCCGTTGCCAGCTTTTCTACCTGTGGCTTAGGACATTATCACATCCAAAAGCAGTGATGTTTTGATCTGAAGTCCATCGAGTTTATTCCCTTAAGTTCCCTCGGGTTTTTCCCCTTCCGGTGTCCTCTCAGGAAGCCGAGTCTTTGGGCAGGAGCCCCAGGAAACCCCGGGACAGAATATTTCCCCGGCCTTCTCGTTCTCCTCCAGCACCTTTCTGCCCTGCACCAAAAGTTCTCCACTCATCCCGTAATAAGCCATCTCTCCTGAACTTTTCCCCTTTCCGTGAGGCTCATGTCCTCCACCATATCTATCTATCTGTCTGTCTATCTATCTATCTATCTATCTGCCTATCTATCCATCCATCCATCCATCCATCCACCTACCTACCTACCTGCATAAGAGGGAAGGCCCTTAGCAGCTTTAACCTATAAAACCCAAAGTTTGCTATAACCCTCACTCTTCCCAGAAACGAAATTATTATTCCTTCTTTCTAATTTCATTTATTCATTCATTCACTCATTCGGTGTTCATTCAATGGATATTTATTGAGCATTTGCCACAGATATGGTGCTTGGCTCCAGGATACAACAATTACCTGACAGAAAAGGTCTTCATAGAACTGGCATAGCAATGGGAGTAATTTGAAACAAAAAAATACAGGAGTTTGGTAAAATAGAGGAGTTACACAGGATTCTTCAAAGCCAGCTTTATGCTATAATTTGTTGAGAAACTCCAGAATGGTATTCGGTACAAGAAGTAACTGGCTTCCAGGGACATTGCAAAAGCGAAGGAGGGCAGTAGAGGTGAACCAAAAGTGTTAGTGTCTATGAAGACCGCCTCCGCCCGCCCCCTCACCCCCGGCTTTTCTTTGTGACTTTGAAGGTTACATTCATAAATGTTGAGTCTTATTTTCCTGCTGAACTGTGACTTCTAGAGCTCATGAATGAGGCCGAAAGTAGCATAAGAAATGTAGTTATAAGGTGCTTTAAGCAAATTCTTTCTAAATGTCACTGAGATAATTACAAAGATGTGAACTCCTTGGTGATGAAAGGACACTCTTGTCATTTTTTCCAGCAGCTGTCAGAGTCCCCTCACTAAGGAGAGGGAGCATGTGTGTGCTAAAGCCAGCCTAAAAGTTTCAGTTGCCTGAGGCCACATCTAGTTTTCAATTCCTGGCTTCTCTCTGCAGAGAGAATGCAGAAGTGGCAAGGGAAGTGTTAGCCCTGCTGCACGTCACTGCTTTCTGCTGGAAAGGAATGTATGAGTGGGAATAAAAGTCAGGTGTCTCTTAACATTTTCCCAGAGATTAATACAGAGACACGCCCTTTGGAAACAAAGCACGTTTGCAGAATGAAAATCGCAAAGAAGGAAGTAGCATCTTCTGGCTGACTCTCCACAGTGTCCCTATTTCCCTCTGCGCTGGCCCATGTCACCTCACAGACAGCAGGGAGGCTTGTTTTCCTGCCCCCCACCTGACAAGGGGGCTCTGAATAGCCCCACATCTCACATTCCACAGTTTATTCTGCTTTGAAGCAAAGTGTTTCTGGCTGTCACTTCCCCTACTGGTAACACCCTGATGGAGGGGTTGGGGGGAGTATAAGGAGACCCCCCGCAAGAGGTTCCAAGTTACCTGCGTTTCCCCCCTCAACGTGCCAGTGCCAGAAACCCGTGGGGCTCAACTGAGTTTCATTTGAACTGTTCTTGATGTCTGTGGTTGTAAAAAGCCACTGCATTTCAGCTGAACTACCAAAGTACATACAATGCCATATCTGTGAGCTAGCATGGAAGAGCCTCTGCAAACACGATTTCCATCGCTGCAGACGCCCTCTTAGTGGCCCGATGAGGGCCTAGTTGTTCTTGGCCTAATCATTCCTTGGCATGGTACATCCTGTCGTGTCAAAGCACCTTCCCCCTCAGCCAGCACATGGAGCTCCCCAGACCAGTGTTCCCCATGTCAGAAGTCCTACATGGAGAAAAAAAAGAACCTGGTCCCATGCTTTTGAGGGGTGTCAGGATTAAGTAGGTTTAACCCATCTCTTTACACTAGGGTTTCACCCAGCCCTTAGTGTTGCTCTGGTAAGCTATGTTTTCCATTATGCATTTCTCAACCTTAACTGTCCATGGAAATCAGCAGAAATGTGATACAAGTTCCTCAGTGACCCAACAAGCTTCTCCTTAATGAGGCGTCCATGGGGTACATGGCAGTGGGTACTGTGAAGGACGGAGATGAAGAAGGAACTACAGTGCACGGTGGATGCTTAGGCATGAATACAGAGATTAATCACGGAGGAGAGTTGTGGCTAAAAATATAAAGCAGCAAGCGAGCAAACAAATAAAACACTGAGCAAAAATTGATGGACGGCTCAGGAGGTCAACCATACCAGCAGCATGCCGATGGAGGGGGTCCCAAGCCCTGAGTTTGCCCCCCTTCACTGCCATGTAACTCTTCACGTTTAACCTTCCTTGGTCACAATTGCCTCCTCTCCAGAATGGCAGATATTCCTGTGTGGCCTAATCTGTGAGTACCTCCTGGGGAATAAATGATATAATTTGGGTATCAAAGTGGATACAATTGTACTCAAATTGTATCCAATGTGATTTGTGCTTAGTAGGAGCAGAGTCATGGCAATCTGCCTCCCTAACCTATGACAGACACTGCAAGGTACACAAAAGAACAGAGCTGGCCCCCGCCTAAGAGATCAAGATGGCTTTGTTGAAGACCCAACATTAAGACCCTCCCCAAACACTGAGTCTGACAATTAAATTTGCAAACTTGTTGCAACGATGTTGCTAACCTGTTTTGATGTCACAGGGATTATTCATTATGAATCTGTACCAACTGGACAAACAGTTAACCAAGTTTATTATTTGGAAGCGCTGAAAAGGCTGTGTGAAAAAGTTGGAAGACTTTGACTTTTCGCCAACAATTCACGACAATGCACCAGCTCACATGGCACTGTGAGTTTTTTAGCCAGTAAACAAATAACTGTATTGGAACACCCTCCTCTACTCACTTGATCTGGCCCCCAATGACTTCTTTCTTTACCTGAAGATAAAGGAAATATTAAAAGGAAGACATTTTCATTATATTCAAGACATCAAGGGTAATACAATGACAGCTCTGATGGTCATTCCAGAAAAAGAGTTCCAAAATTGCTTTGAAGGGTAGACTAGACACTAGTGTTGGTGCATAGCTTCCCAAGGGGTGTATTTCAAAGGTGATCGTGGTGATATTAAGAAATGAGGTATGTAGCACTTTTTCTAGGATGAGTTCTCAAACTTAATTGTCAGACCTCATATACACATGAAACAGATATGAACAACAAAAGGCTGTGCCTTTGAGGATAATAGTGGGCATAGGTATTGTTTGGAGAGTTAATCAGACCTAATTAGATTATTTTAGGTTGAAGACCGACATTTCTCAAAGGAATGAGGTCCCCCTTCCATGAAGCTGTGGGGAATCATGTGAAACAGCAGGAGAGAGAACCTGGTCTTTCAACCTAGACAAATACAGGTTTAGTCTCGGTGGTACCTGATGACTGTAACTTTGGACATGTTGCGTAACTTCTCTGAGCCTCATCTACAAGCTAGGACTGATAATATTTCTTATCCACATGGATTAAATTAGATGACATACGTGCAGTGGGAGGTATGTTGTGGGTGTTCCAGTGGTGGAAGATGACTGACTGTAAGATGATGAATGCCCTTGAATGCCAGCCTGAGGAATTTGGATTTCCTTTGAGAGGCATCCTGGCCATCGTAGATCCTTGAGAAAGGAAGTGTGATTTAGTGATGTGTTGAAAATGGTACTTCAGACTGATTTCTTCAGCTGTGAAGTGCAGGAAAAAAATGACCCTAAAGAATGCCAGGCAATGGGCCCCATACTAAATTTATTAAATTCTCTCCTCCGCTGTTAACGCTCCCACCAGGAAGTCTCAGTGCAAATCTCCCTGTGTGCAGCTGTGTTTTCGCTCCAGGCAGTCATCTGTGTTCTCTTGCATCAGAGATGTGAGCTGAGGAAGGCTCGGGATGGTAGGGGGAGGGAGAGGGAGTGTTGAACATGGTGGTAGGGCCAGTGTGAGTGGCATGCTCTGCCTTAAATGTTTGCCCCCTCTCCCAAGATGGGTCCCCTTTCTGCAAGAGGCCCCTTCAGCATCCATTCCTATGTACTGTGCCCCATTTGTCTAGGGAAGCTGAGGCATACAAGACACTGACTCGTCGGTGGTCACATAGTGAGAGAAATGGGGGCAGAAGGAGACAATATCAGAAGCCATAAATTGTTTGCCACCGAATTAGCTTTCTTCGGCCACACTCAGCTAGTCTCAGGGCAGGTGGGAGCTTCCCCTTGGCAAAGAAGCTGTTCCATGGCCCACTTTCTCCAGTGCATGCGTCTACTATCGTTCTGTACATTTTGTGTGTTCCCTTTCCCTGGAGAAGCCAAAGTAAAGCAAGGTAAGATTTACGTATAACCACTCAGGGGCACTGAAAAGATAGATCTTCTTATTCTTTTGCATCTTACTCTGGAGCCCTGGTCCTTCTGGCGCGTGAAAACAAACAAAGCAAAAGTCAGGTCAGAGACAAGACTCCGCATTGGGGCCATGAGGGTTTCCCTTCCCACATCTGTGTCCCGAAGTGAAGCTTTTCCATCTCAGAGCCCCAGGCCAAGGGCCTTGGATCCTCATGCTGGCCTCCACTGAAATGTCACTTGTCCTTTCCAGTCATTGGACACCACGTGCTGGGGTTCCCTGAAGTGCAGTTGGTCTCCTCTGTTTTGGAAGAACCAGGAGGATGTCCATGGTCCCTGCCAGAAGCCCTAGTGCCTGGTCCCCACATGCTGTCTCCTCTCCATCTTGGTCCCAGGCCCATCGGAGACTTCCCGTCTCCCTGAGCTATGCCCCAGACTCCCCCAAACTCAGCCAGGACCCCTCTCTTCACTCCATGTGGTTATACCCCAAGCTCTGTTCTTAATATGGACCTCACTATTGAAAAGCAGATCTTGACACATAAAAGCAAGCTTTTGGAAATTATTATGTAAAAAAAAAAAAAGTTTTTCTCCTATAAGGAAGCCTGACTTGCTCTGGACTTCACCAATTACCAATTACATTCAAATGCAAAGCTAAGCAATGTCTTCTTTAGTCTAGGCTGGTATCTAGGCTCCCCTTGAAACAATGGATGCCACAATCAGAGGGTGGGAGGCCGTAGAGAAAGAAAAATACATCACCTTAGTCACTCAAAATATTTCCCCCATTTCACATGTAGTCACAAGTTGAAAACAACTCTAGTCTGGACTTCTACACTTATATACTTCTTTTCAATTAATCGTAGATGCTGGATAAATAGACTTTTATTAGAAGTCAACTGATCAAGCAATTACTCCCCATAAAATCATCAGTTCTTAACCTTTTTATGAGACATAAGACTATGGCCTTCTCCTAAACAAATGCATCTACACAACATTTCATATTCTGTTTCGGGGCATTGATTGACCCCCTGGAACCAATCTACGGGGCAGAGTTTGAAACCTGTCATATCCACGATTTGCTGTAAGTCAGCAAAACTGCTTGCAGGAAAGATCTCCATCATCATTTCCATGTCTGAAACATTTCTGGCAAAGTGGGATGGAAGCAGGCGGAGGATGGACTAACCAAGTTCAGCTGCCAGAGAACACAGGGCACACACCCAGGTCCCTTGGAAATACGAGTTCTGTACTACTAAACAAGGGTATACCTTCTCACCAGAGTTACTGCTTCTACTCGTAAATACTACACTCTACTTGCCTTTACCACATAAACTATATGTTAATTCTTTGTGGGATTATAGGTTCCACTTATCCCCCTCTTCTAATTTCCCCAAAAATGTTAGGTCTTACAAAAAATGAGTGTTGTAACACTCAGGGCCTCCAAATAATTCCCATTAACTTTTATGGATTCTCAAGTTTATGTATGTATAATTATTAAAAAATATACATTGTATAACTCAGAAGTTCTAGACATAGGTTGTAATGAAGCACAGTGCTATCCCCGAATTTTTCCTAATAGGCTTCAGAGTATGGCACTGACATTTAAGCGACCTGGGACAGGAAAGGGACACCATCCCACAGCCTACCTGCCATCTGAGAGCTGCCCCACACCCCTGCTGTGTCCCTTTGCTTCCAGCCCATGCGTTTTCTGCCCACACACCTAGATGAGTAAGTGCAGAGCAGCCAGGCCCTTTTCCGTGAGTCTGTAATAAAAGATGTTTTTATTTGTTGCTGGTTTTTTGCTCTTAGGCCGAGCCTGCGTCCTCGAACAAGTGGCAGCTGGATAAATGGCTGAACAAAGTTAATCCCCATAAGCCGCCTATTCTGATCCAAAATGAAAGCCACGGGCCTGAGAGCAATCAGTACTACCCTCCCGGGAAAGACCAAGTGCAGAACTGCGGGAAGCTCCCCGACGGGTGCCAAACCGGCCTGAGAGAGAAGGACCTCAAGAGCACCTGCAAGGAGGAGCAGAGGCCTCGGACAGCGAACAAGGCCCCCGGGACTAAAGGCGTGAAGCAGAAGTCCCCGCCCGCGGCCGTGGCGGTGGCCGTGACTGCAGCCGCCCCGCCGCCCGTGGTCCCTGGCGCGCCACCTGAGAGCGCGCCGGCGCGAAGGTCTGCGGGCAAGAAGCCCCCCAGGCGCACGGAGAGGACCTCGGCTGGCGACGGTGCCAACTGCCACCGGCCCGAGGAGCCCGCGGACGTACTGGGGACGGGCACGGCCATCCCCGCGGAGCCCACCAAAGCCAGGCCCTGCGGCAACAGCAGAACGAGCCACCGCAAGGAGCTGCGCGCCTCGGTCACCTGCGAGAAGCGCCGCACGCGCGGGCTGAGCAGGATCGTTCCCAAGTCCAAGGAGTTCATCGAGACCGAGTCTTCGTCTTCGTCTTCCTCCTCGGACTCGGACCTGGAGTCAGAGCAGGAGGTGTACCCTCTGGCCAAAGCGCAGGCCGTGGCCGCCGCTGCCTCCGCTGCCTCCGCGAGTGAACAGAGGCTCAAAGAGGCTGCCAGCAACATCAGCGGCGGTGGGCCGCGCGCGCCCGTGGGCTCCATCAACGCCAGGACCACCAGTGACATCGCCAAGGAGCTGGAGGAGCAGTTCTACACACTGGTCCCCTTCGGCCGCAACGAGCTTCTCTCCCCCCTGAAGGACAGTGACGAGGTCAGGTCTCTGTGGGTCAAAATTGACCTGACCCTCCTGTCCAGGATCCCAGAACACCTGCCCCAGGAGCCGGTGGTCTTGAGTGCTCCTGCGGCCAAGGACGCTGAGAGCGCACCGCCCAGCCATCCAGCTGACACACCCGTGGAAAAGGCTTTGCCAAAATCCAAGAGGAAACGCAAGGTAGGCCTGGGGCTGAGGGCCTGGCCGGGAGGGAGGACTGACCCTGAACTTTTGGGTGAGGTAGTGGAAAGTGAGTACCCTGTGGTCTGGCGTGTCCTTACTCAGCAAACATTCATGTAGTACTTTATACAGGCCAGGTACTGTTGTAAGTACCTGACATATAGTAATTCAGTTAAGTCCTTAGAACCGCCCAGGGAGGGAAGTACCATTATTATTCCCATTTTATAGTTCTCGATAAATAATTTCTGTCCCACTGCATGTTGAAGTAAGCATACAGGAAATCTTTATCCAGTGTGCTGAGGCAAGCTGGATGCTGCTGGGCCTGTAGAAAAACAAAACGCGGGGTGAACCCCATTCTTTGCTGTAAGGGATGGGGCGATGTCAATGGTGGGATCATTCATTGACTAAGAAGTCAACAGCCTCCTAGAGTTTAAGGCTGTGACTGGGGTGAAGCGTGAGTACGGAAGTGCCTGATGCCAAGCAGTGGAGGACAGGGCCCTATGAGAGGGACCCCAGCCTGCAGCAGCAGAGAACCCAAACGCCTTTCCTGCCGGTTGTGTTGATCCAGGAGAACTTGGTGGTAGAGAGGGGTTGGGGACAGGGCCTTAAGGAGGAGGGACATTTGAGTACAGTTATGTGCCCCTAACCATGAGGATACTTCTGAGGAATGCACTGTTAGGCAATTTCATCATTGTGCGAACGTCATAGAGTACACTCACAAACCTGGATGGCCTAGCCTACTGCACACCTAGGCTGTGTGGTGTAGCCTACTGCTCCTGGGCTACCGGCCTCTACAGCATGTTACTGTACAAAACAACACGAGATGAAATCCAGCACAAGAGAAAATGATGCATTCAAGAGATGGGGTAAACCCGAGATGTATGAGGCTGCTGCCGGCATAATATGGCATACCATTTTACAGCAAACTCTTTATATAAGTAGAAAGACCATACTCTAAAATAATGATAAAAAGTACAATATGGTAAATACATAGTCGTTTATGTACTGTACATAATGTATGTGCTAGACTTTCATACGACCAGTAGGGCAGTAGAGTTGTTCACACCAGCATTACCACAAACACGAGTAATGCCGTACTATGACATTAGGACAGCTATGTCACTAGGCAATAGGAATTTTTCAGCTCCATGATATTCTTATGGGACCACCATCGTACCTGTGCTCCATCGTTGACTAAAATATTGTTATGTGGTGCGTGAGTGTAATCAGAGGGTCAGGGATTAAATTGCACCAAAAGAGGAAAAGGACAAACAAGGGAAGCACAGGAGTGAGAAAGGCAGTTCAAGTACAGGGAGAGCTGCAGACACATCACCTAGAAGCAAACCCAAACACTCAGCAGTTTTTGAAGGTCTTTGAGCATGGAAATAACTTCATCATAAATAAAAGCCCATTTTGAGGATTTTTATCCCCTTCTGTTATTGTATCTTCAAAAGTAACTTGGACCACCGTTAAAAATACAGTGGGTCACAAACCACAGTTCGCAGTAATCATGGATGGTTCTAGATTTAGGACAAAATCATTAACAGTTAACACATATGTTTGTCCCCATAAAGGGACGCTGTTCTCAGCACTCTGTACACATTAAATCATTTAGGTCTTACAACTTTATGAGGCAAATACTGTTGTCATGCTCACATTACAGATGAGGAAGCTGAGGCAGAGAGCCTAAAGTGACTTGTCTCAGGTTCACTAGGTGATAAGGGGCAGAGCCAGGAATGAACCCAGGCCGTCTGACTCAGGGTCTTACAATAAGAAGTCAGCCTGAGGTTTGTGTAGCACTTTCCCACAGGGTCCCTGCTCAGAAGGGCTCGTGCTTACAGTTTAATACTTGTGGCTGCCATCTTGAAATTCTTCGTTTTATCTTTGAATTTGTGTTTGGTACGTGAAGCATTATGGGACAATAGCGCATGCGTGGGGGCATGTGGAGTTTGACCCACCTGCAGTCCCACCCATTTCCCCAGAACAGGTTCTACCTGCCCTTTTGGCCCCTTTGCACCCCTGGCCCTGTGCAGCCTCCCTTCCTCATCTCCTTCCAGAGATGGGGCTGCTGCCCTGGGCCCCCCGGGGCCAAGGGGCAAGCAAGTGAGGGTCAGAGTCAGGAGGGACATCTTGCCCAACCCCGATCCAAGTACTGAGGGGTCTCAGAGAGGATAGTGCAGTTTCCTAAGGGTTGCCAGCTCATCTTGGATTGGGGGGTGGGCCTTGGAAAAAGGGAATGCCCAACTGGTGGGCAGTGGAAACCACACATGTGCCCATTTGCAGGACAGGACCCCTGGGCACTCGCCCCCCCTAATTCTCCCCATCCTTCAAGGAGCACAATATGAAATAGCAAATGAACACCACTGTGGCAGGTCAAGAGAGAGAGAGACTTTGAAAGACAGGAAAACGTTTTTTACTTTAATACTTTATATATGATACTCTTCCTGCTTTTCTTTTTTTTTCTTTTTTTTTTTTTTTGAGAAAAACACTTGAGTTTAATGAATTTCCTTCATGTGGCTTCAAGCTACCAGAACACAGGCCCCTCCAACACCCTTAATCTTCTCAGCTCTTCTGCTGAAAAATTTGGCCTTCATGATGACAGGCTGCTTTGGGAGGTTTCCCTTCCCCAGAACTTTGTAGTAGCCCGATCGCACCACGTCAGTGATAGGGGCAGCTCCAGTCTTGTTTTTGGCAGCATTTACCTGTGTCCGCTCACTGACCAAGGTCCACAGTTTATCAAGGTTGACAGTTGGGCAGAAGCTCTGGTTCCTTTTTAAGTGGTAATGGATCATACCAACTTTCCCAAAGTAGCCTGGGTGATATTTGTCAAAGTTGATCCTGTGGTGATGCAGGCCACCAGCATTACCTCGACCTCCTGGGTGCTTCCGGTGCTTGCCGATGTGGCCGTGGCCGTGACTCACGTGGCCCCTAAGTTTCTGGGTCTTCCTCAGTCTGGATGGCATGTCGACAGCTGAGATGAAAAAGTCTTCCTGCTTTTCTTAGAAAAGCAATTTGAAGTATAATTGACATAACATTATATTGGTTTCTGGTGTACAGTGTAATGATTCTATATTTGTATATAGTGCAAAATGATCACCACAATAAGTGCAATTAACATCCATCACAATACATATTGTATTTTGCTGTGTATAATGCACACCATTTTGCACAAATTTGTGAGGGAAAAAATAAGGATGTGCATTACACATGGGTAGTACTAATTCCATATCTATATAAATGTTTTTAATTATTTTATTTATGCTTATGAGCTAAAAGTGTGACTCTAGAAATCAATAATGATATCCGTATGCAAAACAATACCCTGGAATATGATAATCGGTTTTGTTGAATTTATGACGAACTTGCAACGATGAAGTGTTCTTGGCTTTCTATGATGAGTAAATATCGTAAATTTGTTACTGGTACATAAAATTTCTGGTACCATAATACGTTAAAAAATAAATGCTGGGCCACCCAAGTGACTCAGTTGGTTAAGAGCTCACTCAAGAGTGCGAGCTCTGAGCACCAGGTTCGCCAGTTCGATTCATAGCCCGAGCTAAGCTGCCGCTGAGCTGCCAACAGGTGGCAGAATGGTTCAGCTGAAAAAAAAATTTTTTTAGTAAATAAATAAATGCTAAAACTCCTCTATAATACAAAAAACAAGTACCTAAATGTAAACAAATAAAATTTGAATTAAAAAATTAAAACAAAAGATTATTTCCCTGAAAGTTTGGGCCAAACACATGGGAGCACATTATACACGGTAAAATACAGTAATTACAATTTTTTTTTCCAGATGAGCTCTTTCATGGTCCACTTTCCGAGCTACTTTCAAATATGTAATACAGTAATTACAAGGTGTGATCAAAACCTATGGTGAACGTTTAAATTTTAAAGAAAATTATTACAGTAAAAGACACATTGCCATTAATCCCCCTCAAAATATTACCCCTCACTTCAAACACACTTATCCCATCGTTCTTGTCACTTTCTGAAACACTCCTGGAAATTTGATCACACCTCATATGTAGTCTGATGAATTTGTCGATTATGTCCATGTCTTGGCTATTGTAAATAGTGCTGCAGTGAACATGGGGGTGCATATAAATTTTAGAGTTAATGTTTTCATTTTCTTCAAATGAATACCCAGAAGTGGAATTGCTGGGTCATAAGTGTATTAGCATAGAATTAATCCCTGGTCGTTGACAGAACGTGAAATCATTCACGAAACTCTAGAAGAGCAAGAAAAGATTTATTGAAAGTTAGTCAGAGAGAGAGACAAAAAATTCTGTTTGGAAGAGAAATACTGGCAAAAGAAATTTTGCCAGGGCAGAGTCTGATGGGGATAGCTGCCGAGACAGAGGAGTAAGAGAAATACTGGCAAAAGGAGTTTTTCAGGGTAGAGTCCAATAGGAACAGCTGCACCGATGAGAAGGAGTGCTGGGATTTTATATTTTTCCATGCAGGATGTAGGGTGCTTGTCAGCTTGTAGGGGGGCTACCATTACAATTGTCTTCTCCTGGGAACTGTCCTGTTCCCATCTGTGATGGATGTCAGCTTGCAAGGGGCTGCTGTTGCAATTGGGAACTGTTCTGTTCCCACCTATGATGGATGTAAGGTACTTGTCAGCTTGCAGGTGCAGTGCTAGCCAGGGGAGTCACAGCCAAGCGGTTGATTTTTAAGTTTGTTCCTGCTAACTCACAAGCTCACTCCTGTTAACTCTTTGCCTGTCTCATCCTGCGAGCTCACATTAACTCTTTACTTGTCTCATCAATAAGGTAGTTCTATTCTTAATTTTTTGAGGACCCTCCATACTGTTTTCCGTAGTGGCTACACCAGTTTACATTCCCAGCAACAGTGCACCAAGGTTCCCTTTTTCTCCACATCCTCACCAGCACTTGTTATTTCTTGATTTATTGATGACAGCCATTCTGACAGGTGTGAGGAGATACCTTGCTGCGGTTTTAATTTGCATTTCCCTAACGATTACTGATGTTGAGCATCTTTTAATGTGTCTATTGGCCAACTGTATGTTCTCTTTGGAGAAGTGTCTATTCAGGGCCTCTGCCCATTTTTTAATCAGATTGTTTGTTTTTTTTGGTATTGAGTTCTGTGTGAGTTCTTTATATATTTTGAGTATTTGCCCCTTAGCAGATATATAGTTTGCAAATACTTCCTCCCATTTCATAGGTGGTCTTTTCATTTTGTTGATGGTTTTCTTTGCTGTGCAGAAGCTTTTTAGTTTGACTTAGTCCCACTTGTTTATTTTTGCTGTTCTTGCCTTTGCTTTTGGTGTCAAATACAAAAAAAAAATCACCAAGACAAGAATTTTTTCCTGCTTTTTGAACAAGGAGCCTAGCATTTTCATTTCAAGCTGAACCTGTAAATTATATAGTCATCTCTGACCTCCTGGGCGACCTTAATCAGGTGCCCTTACCTTCTCGACACTTCACTTTCTTCATTTGTAAAATGGTGACAACCTTGGCAGGGGTGTTGTCAGATTCAAACAATATAATTCAGATAATATGGGTCAGCTCCCTACTTCCCTACCCCTCTTTCGTCCTGTTTTCCTCTAGATACCCTGCCCTCCTCATTACTTCTGGATTGATTTATCCATCAATCCCCAGGTGATTAATTGATTAATGAATGAATCAGTCAATCACCTGGGGGTTGATGGATTAATGGATAGACTGATAGAGAGAGAGACAGACATAAATATACAAGAAATATATAGATAGAAATCGATAAACACATAGATTGGAAATATGGATAACTATGTAGGTATACATAGATATATAGAGAAATGTGCAGAAGTATATACATATAAATTCCATAATATTCTGCAGTGCCACACTTTCCCTCTCACTAAGCAGTCAATAGTAGAAGTGACAGATTTCATCCTTATTCGTTGAGGAACTGCCTGGGAATCTGGGCCCAGAGCCACACGTACTGCTGGATGCTTTCCAGAGAGGTAAACTGGTCTCCTGGGAGGCCTGCTTTGTGGAAGCTGGTGATGGGAGCTCATGACGCGCCCTTGAGATCCAAAACTGATTGGTTTTTGCTTATTTCCACACAGTGTGACAACGAAGACGACTACAGAGACGTCAAGAAGGCCCAGGGAGACAAGGACAGCTCTTCACGACTGACCGCCTCTGCCAGTAATACTTTGTCTGCAAACCATTGCAATATGAACGTCAACAGGTATGCGTATTCCCTTGAAGGTCGAAGTGAGCTGGAGGGATCTCTGGGTCTGAAAGCCATGAGCCCTATTGGGGAAGAGAGTCAGCATTTTTTAATGACTGCTCTGGTCTGGGTCTCCAGACATGCTTCCCTTGGTTTAATCTAAGGCTAATAACACAAGACCAGTTACTCATTGTTACACACCGTTCTGCACTCCCAAAGACACACCCTTCCCTCTGTAAACTTAATAAATGAATTTTCAGACCTTTGTTTTAATAGCCACTAAACCCATAAGAACGCTAAGCTTATCACACAGAGGACGAAATATAAACTTTGAATGGAGTCTCCATAGATGAACCTAAAGCACTTAGATTTGGACTAAAATTGTGGTTTTAGACAGGATCCGTGCCTCCAAGGTTAACCGGCCACCTAGCAACTCCTCTGCGGGGGTGCCAGGCAGACCCACGTTGTGCTGAATCCTCTGTGACAAATAGCTTTCCAGCAAGGCACA